TTTAACGGGATGTAAAATAAAGATAGTGAGAAAAAGTTGTTAGAAAATACTCCCAGAGAGTGAATTTTGTACCCGTTTCAATCTGTGAATATTTAATTTCAAATCATCATTATATACGTAGTTTTACATTTAAGTTCTTTAATCTAAAAAAATCTAAAATTAAGAATTCCTATTCTCATAGAAAAAGAATTAATAAGAAAAAACATAAGTGACATAAATCGTTGCAAAAACGTTATTATTAAGATTATTTTTATTAAAATACATATTATAAGTACAATGACAAGCTATACTTAAGAATATTATAAAGATATTTGTTATCTTTTTGTTTTACAATCAACATTTTTATGTTATTTCGACTTACTTTCTAAATTCTTTGAAGTGAAATTTCACTCTGAAAAGAGAAAATTCTTAAAAAAGAGTGGCAGAATTTTCAATCCTTAAGAGTGAGTCCTTAAATGTCATTTTTTAAAGTGAGATTCTACTTCAAAGAATTTAGAAAGTATGTTAAGTAACAACGAGTATCAAATACTTTGAAAAATCAATTTCAAGAGTTACATATTGTAAAATAATGAGTAAAATGGCAAAATTGATTCTTAATACATATAATATAGCTAAATTTAACTTTCAATAATCATCGCAATGTTCATTTTCCGAAACAATATGTAAAATTGAAGACCAGCATATTAATAGATTTATTTTTCTATTATTCAATTGTCAATTTTTTGCCATAACTTCCCACATTCATAAAGTTTGCTAACTTAATCTAGTATTATATTACTAAACTGTAATTCATTGCTGCTATAATGTTTCCACATGTAAATAATTTGTTAATTTAATATGTGAGATAATATTTATGTGAAAACCATTTGTGGTTACGATATATTTACATTATTATATATCGTATACGGATTTTTGACATTTGCAACAGATACTCTTCGTATCGAATATTTTATGTAGGACAATATATTGCGATTAGTTTCAAAAAGTTGTTATTTCCGGTAGGGAATGCGGTTTATTTCGGTAAAATTTACACACATTGTGGTAGCTTCAACTTTATCCTTGGTTAATCCGTTCATCAGCGTATCGTATTGCTGACCCAGAAACAAGGCAAACATTACATCGAGTTTAAATCTCATATTCCGAACTCGACGCGGCGGATGTACTTTATTAGATTACAAACGCAAGCGCTAATATTTGCAATTGTATTTCGAGGATTCAACGACAATCCGAAGATGGCAATTCCATTAATTAATGCATATTATCTTATGCGTTAATTAATGTGATGTTATATGCTTATTTAACATAATTGTTTAACATAATTTGTATTTTTCATTCTTTCCAAATATAAACTCATTTAAATTAGGAAATTATGAAATAATAAAAATTTTTTCTAACCTCTAAAAAGTATGTAAATACTATATGATCCAATACACATAACTATAACATATTTGTTGAATTTGATCGTATAACATTTGAATATTGCCTTTATTCATGTATCGATATAAATTCTCTCCCCTCTTCTCCAACACACGCACATACACGCTGCACACATATATAACACATTTATAACATTGAATCTCGGAATACTAACTAAATATTGTTATTTCAAATATCTCTTTTTCTCTGGATATTCAAAAAATATTATACAATATTTCAATATACTGTGTATGGAATTTATTAATGATTTTTTAAACCAGTTATTCGTTATATTCACGATCTTTGTTTCGTTGAAAGAGCACTAGCTGTTTTTTTAATTAAAAAAGAATACTATTCTATTACTTAATTTTTTCATTGCTTGAACGAGACAAGGAATTTAACATGAATAAGCAAATTTCTATTTAAATTAATTTCTGAAATTCTGAATTTTTTGTTGCTTCGATAAAAAATTCGTTATCTGTAAATTTTCACATAAATATTCACATGCATATTGAACGTGTCGAACTAGATTCTCTTTATAAGTAATAACTGCCAGTCTTTTTTCCTAGATGCATTCTTGATTTAGTTAAATGCCTTTGCCATCAGGTGGCGAAATCGGTAATTTCTTGAAGTGTTCGAACGTAAGTGCGAGGAATACATTTAATTTTACAAAATCGTTTCCTCCGATAGTGGAAACGAGGAGAAGGCGGAGGAAAAGGATCTCTCGTAATTACCATTTAAAGGCCAGGTTCGTAGTAACTGAGTAACCCCTTTGTCGCGCACAAATTGCGAACCAATAAAATTCAGAACCAATTCGCAGAGAAGTTCTTGCTTATTTAACTTGCAAAAATATCCCTGTTCGCCGATATTCGATTGCTATTTTGGAATGCTCTTTTTGAAAGTATCATACATTATATTTTTCTCTAATTCTTTTAATAATTGACACGATATTCTATACTAACTGCATTTTTTCTGCTCTGCCTATTCTTTTCTGAACATAAATCAATTTTTACTTGTTAAAAATCTGATATCATGTTATTTAAAAAAATTAGAATATATTTATGTAGCGTATACCTCTTAATAATATCAAATCTTACAATAAGACTTGTTAAGATAAAGTTTACTTGGATTTATTTATAAAGTTTTTTTTATCTCAAAGAATTTATATTATTTATATTAGTCATATTAATCAGAAATATTAAATGTACAACTCTTCATTCTTGGCTCCTACAGCACTTATTCAAGTTTAAATCTTTTTCAATCGTATAGTCGTTTTAAAACGCATCCTTCAACTTTAAAACGAGGTATAATAATTAACAGAGTTGTCGATATGATTCAAAATAGTGGTGAAAGATGTCGTTCGAAAAACCGAATTTAAGACACTGCCTTCTTTTCGCTTTTCAACTGAAGAAAAATTCTCGGCGAAGAACTAAGAAGATAATTTGCTTGCTCTTAGGTGAAAATGCTGTGTCTTATAGTACGTGTAAAAAGTGGTTTCAAAAGTTTCGCGATGACAATTTCAATCTCCAAAATGAAGAACGCCCGCTGGACAACCAAAAAAGATTGAAGATGAAGAATTGAAACAGCTTTTAGAAGAAAATCCTTCAGACTCAAGAAGCTTGAAAGACTATTCGTTTTTATGTAAAAAAACAACATATTCGTAAAAAAGCTAAGAAAGAAATATCGAATATAAATCAAAACCTTCTCTCTAGTTAGTTGTTTATTTACTTTTCTTTTTCTTTATCGAGTCATTTTTATTCTCTATTTGTCCTTCTTTTTATTTCTATTTTATCGAAGGAGAGTTATTCTTCATCAGTTTAAATGGATCTTTTCGGATTTCTAGTGAAATGTATGAACACGAAAGGGGGAAGAGAATAAAGTGATGGAAAGGAAGTGTGAGAAAAAGCGCGAGATAGCGTGCCATCGCTTCCAATTCCTCTGCAAATTAATGTCCAATTTGACTGCTTTATCTCACGAGTAGATATATTTCTTTCATTGAGAAATTTCGGCAAAGTTTCCGCAATGGGATTAACGGCCTCGTTATGCGTCAAGTGCAAGTTGAGTATTCGAGAATAGAATCTGAGTAATCAATAGAACTCTTGCCATAATGCTATGTTATTCATACGAACTTAAAGTCGAAATTAAAGTCTCAATTATGGCTAAAATGCAATATTTTATATTTTATAATAGCATAAAATTATAATTATATTGTGATTATATCAAACCTTAGACAAAATCATAATTCTGCAATGTACATATATAATGGAACACGTTTTTAAATAATCCTAAAATAAATGCATAAATGATGAAATAAATAATGAAATAATCGCACAAGTATCAAAATCAAAACAATACAAAATAAAAATAAATTTAATACCAAACGGAAATTGTATACTACTTTGTTATATTAAAAAATAACGATATCGAGTAAAGATGAAGAAAAATTGATATCAATTGGAAATTGTGTTACAATGTGATCAATTTTTATAACGCTGTTAGATTATATTTATAACTGAGTGGATTATATTTGAAATATGATTAATTTTTATCACGCTGTTAGATTATATCTATAAATGAGTGGATTATATTTGAATTGTATCGAAAGGATTGAAAGGAACAGAATTGCTGCGAGGGAAATAAATAAAATTTTCGTGCCAAAATCGATCTGTGTCAAAGAAGAAAATCTGTTGGGAAAAGAATCAAAGTGACGGCGTATGGATCAGCCAATCGAACATGTCGCCTATCGTGGTGGTCCAGAAAATATAATTTATCGTTTGATTCGTCCAGTCAAGCGTGTGGACGCGTATAAGTGGCATATATCCGCATGGACTGTCGCATAAGCTATCGCGTTTCCACAGGAATGAACGAAAGCGCCTTAATATCGCCATAACAAAACGCATCATTCACAATAAACGTGACGCACCGCGCGCGTAACATAAAGTACCATAATACGTTAACTAGACTCAAGAAGCAAATGTAGCGACACGACGTTGCGACGTTGGCGACAACGTTAAATACCCATTGCTGAGGTTTATATCGCCTCAAGTGAGTGGAAGATTTGTTATTACGGCGATTACACTAGATTCTGCTATGAGAGGATAAGAAAATTTTTCTAGCTGTATTCATGAGATTTTATTACATTCTTTTTTTTTTTCGTTGCTATTTAATGCGGTAATTAATCAATTAAAATTATTTTATCTTTTTTTCTTTTGTACAAAGGAAAAAATTCGATATGAAGGAAACAATGAAATCTTTTCAGATTTGTATTCCTGTTCGGACAGAATACTCTGTTTTCTTCTTTTCATTTCTTTTCACTTTGTCTTTTGTTATATATTTGTATATATTTGTGTATATTTGTGTATCACTCTAATTTTTTTAACACATTTAAATCAACTTTCTATTCTTATCGCACGATTATAAGTCAATCGTATCAAATATCTATATCATTTTTGGAAAAAAAAAACTATGCATTTTTAGTACTTGATTTTTTTGTAAATTTTTTTACTTCAACTCTGTGTATGTATAAATAGCGATTTATATGATAATAATATTATAATATAAATAGTTAATCTAAATGAACTCACGTTATCCCGAACTGGTAGATTCCAGTGGTGCAATCGAACGAACGAACGAAGCCCCACCAACGCGCAGTGTCACCATCGATATCCGCAGTGCCGTTGTTGGCATCCAGCCAAAATCTATCTTCGCTTCCACACCCCGCTACGTACTTTGTAAATCGAGGTTACCCGGGCTTCTAGCGACGCGCCCCTTTATCGTCCGAGTTTTCGGGCCGTAATCCGACGTAAGGTCAAGATTGCATTCATTGCACAAGTCCAGGTAGCCAAATCTATATCGAAAACTGATTTTGCAAAGTGTTTACTGCAAATATGAATAAGATGGCAGATTACGATGACAGATCAATTGATCCAGAAACTAAATAATTATTTCAGTAGCAATTTAAATAACATTCTATATTTAAATGAATGCGAAGACAGATTCTGTTCGGACGGATTCTGCTGATATACGATCTGTTATCCGATTATGTCAGCAAACATGTGCTTGCAAAACATGAACGTAATGAGAATATATGTATATAGGTAATTGACGTAACTGCTAAAATTTATTTACAAACTGCTAGTATGATGCTACCATTTTGTTCCTTGCATTGGAGGAATTTTTTTGAAATATTTTTGATTGCATAAGTATTAAATTTGGAATTATTATCTAGTAGTGTAGAAAATGTGATTTCAGATGGGTGATACTAAGTAAAGCAATTATAATATATAATTATTATTAATACAATTTTTTTTATTTTGAATCATGAAGATATATATTTCTTCATTAATAGTTGTCCAATATAACTAAAACTTAACTTAATCTATATTAGTCTATGTATGTGTTATAAAGGTAAAATGCCAATGTGTTGTACTATGCCATAACAAGCAACATATGTATGTTTACGGTGAGACTAGCATACTAATTAGTTGATATTGGAGTTAAACATGCATTGATCGCAAGCAATAAATTAAGAGCTTGTAACCTGATTTTGGTTAATCAATTTAGTCAATATAGTTTATCTTTTTTAACATCTGACAGATTTTCCACCATTATTTCAACAACCGAGATAACATCATGTTTCAGAGAAATATTCCAATGATTTAAATAGATTTGTTTGGATCAATTCAAGTTAGATTAAATCGAGTGCGATTGGTTGACTTTAGATCATGATAAAAAGACTGTTCAAATTAAAACTACAAAATTAACCAACAATACAAATGTTATATCCAAATTTATTAAAAATTTAAATGTTGTTCATACTGTGATTAATATTTAATTTTACGGTCAACTTATTCAATTTTTTATACATACCTCTGTTATAAAACATGTAAAAACAAATGTTTCTCCAATTTCTTTTCGGATCAAAGGAAAATGGCAGTTTCCTATGGTATCTCCTTATCTCTTCCTTTATCGCCGCACAGGATTTTCTCACGAGAATTTATGGAGCGGGACGATGAAAACTATCCATCTTTCTTCACGACTTGGCAAACGGGCTTTGTGCGATAACGTCCCGTGGATCACAGGAGTTATCGCCAGATGTTGATTGGCCTCTGTCATTTTTATCCGGGGAGTTTTTTGTTCGTCATGTTGTTATGACATCATTGTTGAAAAGATAAATATATTGTTTCTCGCGTGTCGAATATAGTGTGATATCGCAGATATCTCTGTAAAAGATAAAACAAACATATCAAACGTATATTATCTGGATAAAAGTTATAAAAAAAAATATATTATTGAAGCTAATGTACTTTTTATAATGTTAAAAAAGAAAGAGATTTTGTGTAAATATGTTTAATTGAAACGTAATTGATTAATTTTTAATCAATTAATGAGAGGTCGATACGGTAACTGGATGAGTAATATAAATTCACATGAAAAATCGGTAAATGTAAAAAAAATTTCCAATTGTAATAATTGTTCTAAAAGTGATATTGAACATGAATATGCGAAACACAATTTAATTAAATATAAATGTAATTTGTGTTTAAATGTTGTTAAAAAATAATTGAACAATTATCTTAAATAAATTTAATCACGATATTAAAAAAAAGTTTATAGAATAAAATATATATCTTATTATATATATCTAATACTTTTCTTCTGTACAACTATTATCATATATGTAAACGTGCGAGAGTAAGTAGTTGGAAGGAAGAACAGTACTTGTCGATATATGATATCGCGAAAACAGATCGTCCATATCGTTATGGACAAAATACGAGGACAACGGACGAGGAAGAGATGGGTAAGAAAGATATGGAAATAGTTCCCTTAAAGATGGCGATGCGGCGAAAAGATTTGCGAAGAAAGAAGTCGTTAGAGGGAAAAGTGATAAAGGAATTCTAGCAGGAACTTTGCATAACGTCCTACGTGGAAGTAGAAAGAAGCATGAAAAATATGGACATGGTGTTAGATGGCTTAATTTCTGCTGTAATTCACGGAAAATGCGATGCTTTCAACACAAGAAAATCTTTTCGAAGTAAAGATTTAGTTTAAATTCTGTTGTGTTTAACGCTGTTTCTCTAAATAATAAATTTTGACTTCCGCACGTTTCGAGAATTATTAAGTAAATATTATGCCGTACATATATAAAATTAGGAACGCGGAAGTTGCTCCATTTTGTATGAATAATTTCTTCTCGTATTAGATTGATGATCAACATTATCTCGTTTCAAAGAACTTCATATCGTGTATATATCGAGATTTGCTTTGTGTAGATTGAACATGCGGGCTGATAACTATATTCATTTGTTAGATTAAGTAGCCTTTCTAATCTGAGTTCCCTTGAAGCTGTACCAGCCAACGTACTCTTATCTAAGCTAGTACAACCCTCAAAACCCCTCTCCCCCTCCTCAAAGCCCTTCTCCTAATTCCCATTATCGCGTTAAACCTTCGAAATCTTCTACTGAGAAAACATATGGCAATTTAGACACAATGTTGGGAAAGCTAATCTTATTAACTTTCTACACGATAATAACTTTGGGATCCCTTAAGCAACTTATTACTGAATAATCAGTACAAGTGCTGTTAACGTGATATATTGATGAGAGAAGAGAAAGGAACGATAAAATATCAAAATAATTTTAACTTCTACATTCAAGGAACATTTTATCTACATGAAACTTATTAAAACTGCAGTTTCAGATTTTTAATCTATCAAAGGACTATCAAAATAATTCCAGATATATTTGTTAATTTCCAAAATTATATAATTATATTTTTTAAAATGTTATTTTATTTAAAACTAATAACTTGAGTTTTTGTTAAGAACTCAAGTTATTAGTTTTAAATAAAAAATTATTTGCTTCTAAATTTTCAATTTGTCTTTGTTTCCTATCTATATATCTTTTTGCAGTATATATTGTTATAAAATATAGTTAAGAAATTAAATAATATGTTATTTAATAGTCTTTAATGCAGATAATATGCTTTTCTATATTGGGCCAAAAGCGTTAACAAGAGGAGTGCTTCACTTAGAATTTTGATGTATGGATGCACATTTAGAAGCGATTCCATTAGAATCCTGCAAAGAAATTCTCTTTGATGACGTATTACGAATGTGATTTCTGAAGTAAAAGCTGCGATAGCGTAAGGGAATAAGAATGGAATAGGTGAGGCAAAGGGCGAGAACTTAGGTAGTATATGCGCTTTATGATCATGGATATATTCCATTTTCGTCTTTCGCCACTTTATCCGTCCGCTTCGGATAAGGCTAGCTAAGTACATTTGATTGTAAGCTGCCCAGCCAGGTTTAAGGCTGATTTACAGCCGGGTGGTAGCCTGACTTGCACGCACGTGAGTCGACTGTATGTGGTTTCTATTCTCAGGCGCTTGAGCCGTTATTAACTTCACACGTGGCGCAACGCGATTCTTCTATTCAGTCGTTTTCACTGAACTGCTCTTTTTGTTCCTGTCTTTTACTTAATACACTTTCGTGTATTTTATTATAAACACTTATATACTTAGCTTATTGTATATAATTGTAGTGATTTTTTTTTTCAATTTATTTTATATCAAGTTTTTTAATTGTTCTATATGTAAAATCTGTATATTTCTATCTTGTCATTTTATATTATAAATTATTTTATTTAATAAATAATAATTTAATAATTATTGCGTTCTAAGTTGATCTACACGTCAATATTTTCTTTTCATACGATACATATGTTTATCAAAAAAATATAGTGAAGAGTAACATAGATGTTCCTTGAATCTTCTTAAGGCTCTATCGACAATGTGTAATTTTCGATTATAGTTTGTAACCTGAGGGCTCGTTGAGGTCCACAGTAGATTTTTTTATCATTTCGAATTAAAAAATTAAAGAAAAATTCTTATTTAAAATTCACAATAAAAAAACTGACTGTGCCTTAAAAGATCCCGCATTGTCAGCAGAGGGTTGTTTGTATGGTTAAGTATGAGTAATTGATTTTTTAACTTACATTAGTATAAGTATCATAAAGATATTCTTTCTTTAAAAGGATACAGTAAATATATTTTTATATCTCTTTGTTTGAAATCTTTATAAGAATTTCGATATAAACATTTTAATTATTTCAGTCGATTTGTTTATTTGATAAGAAATTATACAATTTTACTTATAATCTGTATTCAACTTAATTCTTTTTTCATTTACAAATAATAAACAAATAAACAAAGTAAAAAATTAAAACTGGCAATTTGTTTGAACAAGACGTGTTTGACCGGGTTAGTAAGAAAGTATCGAAGTTCAAAAGAGGAAACCTCCTTCGAAGTACAAAAGGAAGAAACTGAAGAGGTAAAAAGTTCAGAGTAAATGATGAAGGAGGATACGGGAGAGAAAAGTGAATGAGTTGGAAGTGAGAAAAAGAGAAGCAACGGTAATTAGACGGATGATTGAGCCCTCCCTAAGAGATGATCTTGACTAGAAGTAGTTGGAGAGACTTGCAGTGGTAAGAGGTGAATAGTTCGACGTTCAATCCTAAACATGAAATTACTTGAACGCTTTTATTTAGACGTCGATAGAACAATAGCTTCGAGGGAATTAGTAGTCGGACAAAAAAGTGTACGATGCGGATTAACGATTAGATCATGCGCTATTAGCGACGACATAGAGGAGCCGGTTAAGCCTACAGAATGTGTCAATCTCGCATGTGGGCGGCCGCATCATATTAACGTCAAAACCTGTCGCCTCTCTGCATCCCTGCGAAAACCACAAGCGAATAGTGCTATGTGTTAGCACATAAATTAATTTACATGACATTAACATACAGTTAATATTCAATTAATATTTTTTAATTCTATTATAAGTAATAATATAATTCGAATATTTATATGATTTATAATTTTTTCGACAAAATTAGAAGAAAAAGAGAGAGAAGAGATATGTGTAAAGGTTGAGTTATTAATAATGTATAATTTATATTAACCTATAGAATATTAACAATAACCTCAACGTGAACAGCTGTTTATAAATAAAAATACAGACAGAGTAAAATCAACGATACAATATTTCCTTTACAATCGAAAGCCATAGTGATGTCATTATTTTACAATCAAGCGAAGAAACGTATATCTCGGGGCGAGAATTGCCGAGAATACATTCTCATAGCACAGGCGACGCAGTTGGCACCTAGTACCTTTTACGAGCCTTATCAGCAACCATTGGTTTAACTTAAGCTCGTTGCCACGTCACATAGATTGTTGTTGTCCACTAATTCGCTATTATTAATATCGATAATAATGTATTTACGAGACAAAAATCATAAAATTAAAAAAAAACTGCTCTATTTCCTACCAAGAGATACAACAACAAAAATTTTTTATTAAAATTTAAAAGAAAGAATCAGACATTATACATTATATATAATGACATTTTACGAGGAAGGAGTAAAGAGTACCTTACGCACAACAAACTTCGTTTGTTTTTATATTTATTAAATACAAATTTTTATTGCATAATCGGGAATATTATACCATTCAGAAAATTTGTACTATTGTACTATTTTATATATCATCATAATACATTTAATACGACACAGACTTGACTAATATATTAATCGAGTTTTTTTCTTTACGAAAATAGAGATTTGGGAAAGAGGGAAGTAATTACATTAATTATGTGTAGAAATGGGAGAGTCCTACAGAGACATTTAAAAATGTAAACGTATTAGATATTGTATTAATTAAATTATATCGTATTCTTAATTTAACGAACTTAATTGCTCATACAAATATTGTATGATGAGTGAGAGGAGAACATAGTCCACGCATCGTCGTGGTCAGACTGCAGACAGTACGCTGCCAATCATTATATCTCTGGCATGCGAACATACCACTGTGTGCGAAACGGGGTATGCGAGAGGACCAGGGGACGTTCGCTGGTCGATGAGGGAATATGGCAGCGGCAAGGGATGTGACGAGAGTGGTCGACGAGAGCACGCTCTCCGGAATGAGGGGGGTGACAAAGGGCGAGCACTATATTGGCATACCAACGGTGTGGGCGATATAGGAATACTTCAAGAACAACTTTATAGCGCGAAAGCCTGCCGACTCGAGATTCCTCCCTCGGTGATTGCCT